GTGAAGGTGTGAAAGGACTCAGTAGGTGCAGTACCAGAGGGAGGAGACGTACCAGCACCTGGAGCAGCAGACGCACTAGGACCTAGAGCAGCAGCCGCACTAGCACCTAGAGCAGCAGCCACAGTGCCCGGGTCGGGCGGGACACGCAGGTAACAGTCACCCTCAGTAATATCAGCAAGAGCATACATGGCAGCAAGGATAGCATCAAAATCTAGATCAAAGATAGGCACATTCTGCAGAAGCAGATCATGCCAACGAGGAAGATCAACAGCGTCAGGAAACTGGGTACGCCAAGCGTCAGTCAAGCGGCCAAAGCAGCGCTGCGTGGTGTGTGGGAGACCACACACCTCCCCACTACGAGTGCCGGTGCGAAGAACGTACGCGCAGGGACCTGCACCCCCAGACCTCCCACGTCCAGCGTACCACTCACGAAGCTGCTGAACAGACGGGGTCTCACGGGTGCGCAGCTGCTGCGGACGCTGGCTGCCACCAAGGCCTCCACGCTGCGTGGCCGCACCGCGACCAGCACCACCTCCTCCGCTACCTCCACCACCGCCGCCGCCGCCGCCACCTCCTCCACCACCGCCGCCACGGCCGCCACTGCCGCCACCTACGCCCCCACTCCCGGAACCACCCCCACCACCACTTCCACCTCCTCCACCTCCTCCACCGCTGCCTCCACCGCCCCCACCACCACCCCTGCTTCCCTTGCCCTTGCCAGTGCGGCGTCGCCCACTAGGGGCAGACGCAGCGCCGACCTCCTCAGTGCCAACGAAGTCGACAGCAGCAGCAGAGGCAACAGAGGGGAGAAGGGGGACAGGGGAACACCCCTCAAAGAAGGGGGTGCGACGGTCACCGCGAGAAGCACCAACAGCTAAGATACTCTTCTCAGCTGCAGCAAGGCGCTCCTCTAGCAAGTCGACAGTCAGCTCGGTGGGGCAAAGGGAGAGAAAGTGGTCCCTGACTGAAGAAAGAGAGTCAGGGAGGCGGGTGACTAGGTAGTAAAGGGTGATGTACATGGGGGGGGGGTTCTTGGTACAGAACTCAGTGGGAAGGGCAGCGCGGTAGCGGGCGTCACTAGTGCGAAGGTGAGCAACTAGGTCAGCGACAGTGGCAAAGGCAGCAAGGTCAGGGAAAAGGTACGGTAGCATGAGGCGGCTGAGGGCAGCAGTGGCAGGGGAGGAGTAGCGTGCAACTACAGCGTCGTACAGAGCCCTAGCACTCTTGTACTGACTAAAGTGCGCGCGCTCAGTAGACGGCAGGTGGTTGCGCACAGCAAGACGAGCAGCAGCATCGCGCGTGAGCCACTGCGAGCGAACAGTACTGTCAGCATCAGCAGTAGGGGCAGTAGAGGCGCCAGAAGTGAGATCGAACAGTGAGAGATCATCCTTGCTATCGCACTGTAGGAAAAGCTGCAGATCATCTAGCCAGACCTCAAAGTCAACTGCCCGACCCTCAGCATCAAAGGTACGAACATTAAGACTAGCCATGACAGGAGAAGCAGCAGGCTAGCAGTAGCAGCAGGGGAACTCGGCTAAGCAGGCTACGTAGGGCGGCGCAGCTCGGCAGGGCGGTGTGGCTCGGCAGCGCGGCGCTCTTACCAGGGGAGAGGCTGGGGCAGGGCCGGGGTAGGGCCGGGGCAGTCCAGGAGTAGGGCCGGGGCAGGGCCGGGGCAGTTCAGGAGCAGGGCCGGGGCAGGGCCGGGGCAGTTCAGGAGCAAGGCCGGGGCAGGGCCAGGGCAGAGCCGGGCCAGGGCCGGGGCAGTTCAGGGGCAGGGCCGGGGCAGGGCCGGGGCAGGGCCGGGGCAGAGCCGGGGCAGTTCAGGAGCAGGGCCGGGGCAGGGCCAGGGCAGAGCCGGGCCAGGGCCGGGGCAGTTCAGGGGCAGGGCCGGGGCAGGGCCGGGGCAGAGCCGGGGCAGTTCAGGAGCAGGGCCGGGGCAGTGCAGAAGCAGGGCCGGGGCAGGGCCGGGGCAGTTCAGGAGCAGGGCCGGGACGGGCCCGGGCAGAGCCGGGCCAGGGTCGGGGCAGTTCAGGGGCAGGGCCGGGGCAGGGCCACGGCAGGGCCGGGGCAGAGCCGGGGCAGTTCAGGAGCAGGGCCGGGGCAGTGCCGGGGCAGGGCCTGGGCAGAGCCGGGCCAGGGCCGGGGCAGTGCAGGTGCAGGTCAGGAGCAGGGCCGGGGCAGTGCAGAAACAGGGCCGGGGCAGTGCAGGAGCAGGGCCGGGGCAGCGTCGGGGAAGAGCTGCGACAGGGCCGCAGCAGGGCCGGCCGGGCCTGAAGGGGCCTCTAACGGGGCATGACGGGGCCTATAACGGGGCCGTGCGGGGCCTATAACGGGGCCTATAACGGGGCCGTACGGGGCCGTACGGGGCCTATAACGGGGCCTGACGGGCCTTACGGGGCCTGAAACGGGGCCAGATGGGGATTGACGGGGCCGAACGGGGCCGTACGGAGCCGATAACGGGGCCTTGCGGGGCCTATAACGGTGCCTGACGGGCCTTACGGGGCCTTCAACGGGGCCAAATGGGGCCTGACGGGGCCGTACTGGGCCTCTAACGGGGCCTGACGGGGCCGTACGGGGCCTCTAACGGGGCCTGTCGGGGCCTAACGGGGCCTTAAACGGGGTCGAACGGGGCCTGACGGGGCCTTACAGGGCTAACGGGGCCTTACGGGGCCTTAATCCGCGCCCTAAACGGGGCCTAAAGAGGCCTTAACGAGGCCTTAAGGGGCCTTACGGGGCGGGCGCAGGCTCTAAGGGCGGGCGCAGGGGCCGTGACGGGCCTCGAAGGGAAGGTGCGAAGCGCGCGGCAAGTAGGCAGGGGAGAAATTTCAGTGGTGGGCCCTTAAAAAAAACTCGAAACTAGCTCTATACCATGTGAGAATGATAGACGAAAGAATGGTTGAATTAGGAAATGAGGAGGGTACAAGTAGGAAACACATAAGTGTTGTACCCTCTAAGGACTACCCCACTACAGCCTAGACCGACTATAGTAAATATATGTTTGACAAGGAAAACCGACCGACAAAATGTACCTCAGCGGATATGTCGACGCAGACCACGCTGGTGACACGTCAGATCGCCGGTCACGAACAGGCTACATTTTCCGTCTCGAGCCTATTGGTCCAATCTCATGGAACTCATCGAAACAGGAACCCGTGTCACTTTCCTCGGCTGAAGCAGAATTCATTGCCGCATGTGCTGCAACTCGAGAAGGACTATACTTACAGGAACTGCTCGACGAAGCGAAGTTCATCACGCCGAATCAGTTCACGTTGCAGTGCGACAACCAGAGTGCGATTACCATCGCCAACAAACCCGGCTTCGTCAATCGCACGAAACATATTTCACTACGTTACTTCTTCGTCAAGGATGCGATCGACAAGGGGAGAATGCGCCTTGTCTACTGTCCCACTAGTCACATGGCAGCTGACTCACTTACCAAGAAGCTGACGCGACAGAAATTCCACCACTGCAACCAGCTCAGCGGAATTTCCGAGACAAACGGATAACTACACCGAACTCCTAGAAGTGAAGGGGAGTGTTGAGATAATATCGAGACTTAAAGCCAGGATCTCAAGTAGTTTGGCTGTTTTGCAGTTAGTGAATTGTGTTAGGCTGTGATTGGTTGACGAGGTAGAGTAGTTGACGAGAGCTGAAACGAGGGATGCGAAGCAAACAAAAATCGCAGTGAACTTCCGAACCAACTAGGCACGGAAATCTGGTTGGGTTCCGAAGCTCATTTCCCAGCAATGTGTCTCACTTGCCGAAAAATCTCATGTACAGCAATTTGTTTTGCAATTGAGATTCACGGGCAAATCGGGGATCAGTCGCACACTGAACCTCCAAGCCAACCACTCGATTTCGCCTAAACAAACAGGGTGACTCGAGCTGCAAGTGTTTTGCAATTGAAGCCAATTTCTCTTACTTGAGATCCTGGCTTTAAGCACTTCAAGGAAATTCGTGTAGTACAAGTAAAGTACCGATAGGCTGACGTCAGCAAAGCGCCACGCGCCATAGGATGACGTCAGCACGTAGCTATAGACCTCGCGAATAGTGACGTTCCGTTTCAGTACAGGAATAGCACAGTACAGTAGGCGAACAGGTACTTTACTCTAGCTATATATTTGTATGCTTGTCATTTTATAATATATCTGATTTCAGAGACATCGATCCTGAAACATATCACTACATGGACTTTTATTAAGTTCAGACAAAGCTTTCATAACAGGCTTTAATATAAGACTTCCGCTACGACAAGAAGCTACCATCCTAAGTATTACGATCCTATTCAATCACTTCAAATTCTAACATACACAATTACAAAGGTGACTAGGAGACATGGACGCATTATTAATACTCTGATGTGCTGTTAGATGCACCAGATCACATGATCCTTTTGAATCAGCCTGGTGATGAATCCATGCACAAACACCAGAAATGTGAGAAGGACAATGGTACTCATGCACCAGGATCAATCCAGCCTCCATCATTGTTGGTCTAGCCTGGCAGGAAGGAGCAATCAGAAGCCTACATACACATGATTTGATGCACACTGGACAGCTCGTTTCTAAACAGGCCCAGTGGCACTTGATTGTAGCAGTAGTCAAGGGTCACCAGCAACGGCCAGGCCCACGACAATATACATAATCTTTACTGCAAATGGGTACAAAACAAGTTGGGCTATCCAAGTATTGGGATCTGCAGTAAACCCGCCCAAGGTGGTAATACTTGGGCAGCTTTCAAGCCCGGTTTTCCCCTAGCTGCCCACAGTGCGAGTGAGGAGCGAAGTGTTGGCTCAAAATGGAGTGAGAGGGAACTGAAAACTGGGGGGTACATTACCAGTGCTCGTTTGTGGTGAACTAGTGAAGGTTAATAGCCAGACCGTTGGCAATCTCAGTACAGAGAATCACAATAACAGAATCTATTCCGTATCTATCCCAAACCATAGGGCAGCACAAGTCAATAAAGTACAATTATTCTGCCTTTGATGCCACTAGGAACCTCTATTGGAAGTTATCCTCGAACTTCATGTTGGTAAAGAGGACATCCACCCAGGCGTCTGGCACGCCAGGTAGGCACCAGTGCGTGCAATCGCCAGTGAAGGGCGACTCCTTCCTGCCCCCTGGCGAGTCCGGACCCGTCTGGTTACGCGGCTGCCACCACACGCCCAGGTGCCCGTCGGGGCGTACCTCGCTCATCTGCGTAACAGGGAGGAAGCGGACCGGCGTGCCCGCCAGAGTCACCTGCTGCGCGTCAGCGTACGCCTTGGCGGAGGGCAGCGTGTTAACGTACTTGATCTTCTCCTCCTCGTCGATGGGGCCGCGTGCACCGCACGCTCCCACCCACTCCGGGAATTCAGGTCCCTTTTTCTTGTTCTTCACGCCAGGCTGCGGTGCGCCGCGGCCGCCGTGCTTGGGAGAGTAGGAGAGGAAGTATGGCACGCCGCTGTAGTTGCTCGACTTGATATACTTCGCGACCGTCGAGATGCCCCACGTGTGCGCCGCCGAGTTGGTGAGGTTGCGGTGCTCGCCGTTGGCGTAGAACTGGTTGGGCTCGCGAAAGCCGGGCTTGTTCTGCAGCCACCAGATGCCGGTGCCGAGCACCACGGCGTCGTAGTCGGGCAGGATCTTGGCGAGCGTGGGGTCCACCTCGTTCACGTACACGTCGTGCGCGTGCCCGCCGCCCGCCTTGCCGCTGCTGTCCTTGGATAACTTGGTGGCGCGCACCAGGTACGGCGCGAAGTAGAAGTCGATGGAGCCGGAGAACGCGGAGAAGCGAACGCGGCGGATATCGAATGTGGCATTGGTGGAAAGGGACAACTCCTGGAGAAGGGAGGGGGGTATGAGATGAAGCAGGGACCTTGGGTTAGCGGCAGTACCGTGCGGCTATTTACCCTAAACCCTCAAAACAATGTTGCAAGAGGTGCAAGTGGACGCCGGTCGCGAATGCGCAACGCACCTCGCCCTTGTATCCGCCTGTGTTGATGAGGCAGAGCAGCGACTCGTAGAAGTTCATCATGATGGAGTCGCCCACCACCAGCATGTTCTGCCACCACCACACGCACGTCCACCACACAGTCAGAGAAATCCAAGGAAGTGCCGCTCGTGAGAGGGACGACGCGCTCCGGAGGAGACGAGTGAGAGGCGAATAAGACTACGAGGCGGCTCTCACCTTTTTGCGCATCATGTATTTAAAGCCGGGAGCGCTGAAGTAAGATATGACACACTTGTCCGGCTGCCACCGATACTGCGTGTAGTAGTTATCAGGCCGGTTGTTGCGCTGGCACGAGTATTCCGACCTGATGTACGGACATGAGTTCCACTCTCCCGAAAGCCCCGTGTAACGTGGGAACCGGTTGGCGGCGCGAACCCATCGGCCGTCCGATAGATCACACCCTGGTCGTAGGCGACGGGCGGGGAGGAAGGCGCGAAATGAGGCGAATGCATGCACAAATCAGCGCGGAATCTCTGGTGAATCCTAGACAATTTTGACCATTCCCGAAGCTGAGAATCCCCTGCGGCGGCCCTTGTCAGGAGTTGTTTCTTCTCCAACGAATTCTCCCCCTCGAAACGTACCTTTCTGGGGATCCGGGAGCCTGGCATACGTGATGCCTGCGAGGCACAAAAGCGCCACCACTACCAAGACATGACTGTGCGCGTTCATCTTCGTCGACGATGAATAAGCTGACCTCTAGTTTGCAAAGGATGCTATTCGAAGCCCTTGTAGTGTGTGTAGATGTTATACCGCCCCAAATCTCCTTCGCGACACTATGGGTTTGAGATAAGGGCACACCTTACACGTCTACGGACGATCGGTGCTTTTAAAGGTCGCCGGAAAGCGTACTGTCGGTCATCGGGCTCCCTCATGGTCCAGCAGATTAGCAGCACAGATACCGGATAGCTGTGCTAAGTGGCGCACAATTTTCCACCAGTTGGCGTTGTTGAAGGAGGAACCCAGGGCATGTGGCACCATGGGAGCAGGAGCATCACAGCGCGCTGTACACCGCAAGCCGCGCATTGCGGTCCGAATGCAACGGGGGTCAGGAGTTGAGGAGCGTGGCATGGCAAGGCACGGCATCAGCGAAATGTCGGGTTTTCTGGTGATGTTCTGACGTGGGGGAGTCAACGAACGTGGTTGTGGAGGGCGGGAGTGAAGGGAAAATATGCTATAAGTAACCAACTTGAGACTCGATAACGTTAATGGTAAACAAAAAAAGCGTACGGTCACTGTATCGGGTTTTCTGACGGGTTTGGTAAGTGGGGTCACAGATTCAGTCACTAACAACAGGTAAAAAATCACGCGAATGGTCACACATGTAACTCCAAAAAAAACTTCAAACTCAACAAAATTCCCGCTTGCACTCAACCAATCTGCTAACTTCTAAAAAACTAAAACCCAACAGGAATCGGATGCGTTTTGGGAACGGATCAACCCTAAACACCTGGCGAGTTACATTTTTAAGGTTGATTCATCCGAAAATGCATCCAGGTTCTTTTTTGGGTTTCATTTTGTTTTGGCGGGAGTTTCATCTTGTTGAGATAATATGAAGACTTAAGCACTTCAAGGATTCGTGTAGTACAGTTAGTACAGTGCGAGACTTCGCACGTAATAGTAAAGTACCGATAGGCTGACGTCAGCAAAGCGCTACATGCCCTAGGATGACGTCAGCACGTAGCTATAGGCCTCACGAATAGTCACGTACCTTTTCAGAACAGGAATAGCGTGAATAATACAGTACAGTAGGCGAATAGGTACTTTACCCTAGCTATATATTTTGTATGTTTGTCCTTTTATAATATATCTGATTTCAGAGACATTGATCCCGAAACATATCACTACATGGGCTTTTATTAGTCCAGACAAAGCCTTCTATAACTAGGCTTTAACTCATACAAGACTTCCGCTCAGGGCTGACGTTTCACTTTAGGGCTCCCTGATGCCGCTATTTTTTTTTTCCCTCGATTATGAGTGCACATTGTTCAGGAGATTGTCACCCTGATGGCTCAGGGTTCAACAACTAGTCACTCTGATGAGTCAGGGTCGACAGCCTGAATTCAGGGTTGTATTTCAAATTTTACTAGGGTGATTAATTACTGCAATGTACAGCCTGTAACAAATTTCCTCCTACATCTACTCTATTCTAGTGCACAGGCCTATCGATGTGGAACACTTCCTCCACATCCTCATCGTCCGAAAGGAAGGGATTGTCCTCCCCCTCCTCCTCCCCCACAAGCTCCTGATCGTCGCCCAGGGCCTGTTCCACATCCCCCTCCTCCTCCTCCTCCTCCTCCTCCTTGTCCTCCTCCCCATCGTTCTGGTGGGCAGCTCCTGCTTCGACTTCACCCTCCTTTGCTTTCCCCCTCCTTTCGCGATCAGCCACAGCAAGCTTCACGCTCTTTGCGGGGCGCCTCCTCCTCATATACCTCCAGACCTCCAGGGCGTCCGGCCACTCGATGTCGTAATTCAGGAGCGAAATCTGCATCAGCTCCCCCAGCCGCGCGTTGCAGAGAGCGCCGCGCACCCAAGACTTGATCACTTTTTGCCTCGAGAATCCTCTCTCGCACTCCACAGTTGACAGGGGGAGCACCGCGATCGCCTGCCACAGGAGGACGAGGTTGGGCCACCTCCTGTCAGACACATTGTCGGAGATGGGTGGGAAACAGAGTGACCACATGCACAAAATACATTAGACTCCCGCATGGCATACCATGCTGTCACACTACGGGGACATACCTCTTCGAGTCCGCGCTCCCGAGAATGTTGGTCAGTCCCTGCGTGAAGCTTTCCAGCTCGTGGTGCGCCTCCATGATCGCACAGAATGTGGGAAGCTCCCTCTCTGCGGCCTTGAGGTCGAATCCCGGCAGCTTGTGGCGGAAGAGTTTGCTGCATCCCAGAAGCCACTCACGACACTTCTTCTCCCGTTGTGCCTTGATCTTCGGCCACTTTCCGGCCCGAAACAGCTTCGTCGGCCCCAGCTTCCCCGGGTCATCAAGCCGCTCGTTGAGATTGTCCACGCAATCGCGGGCGAAACTGCGGCACAGCTTCACGCACTCCTCGTATCCGCTCCCCACCTTGTGCCCCGGGAGCTTCCGCTCGTGCATGGTGTACAGATGGTTCACTGGGCGTCCCTCCCCGTCCACGCCTCTCACACGGACCTTCTTGCCTCCACCATGCCCGTGCAGCTTCAGAAAGCCGACCAGCCAGCACTTGCCCTCGCCACCGAACTGCTTGTTGGTATCCAAATACCGCTCAGTCAGATCCGCCGTGGTGGCCTCGATGGTCTTCGCAATCTCCGTCACGTCAATCTGTAAGGGAACAGTCATACAGGACATGTCATTTTACATCCAACACTCGAGAAATTGGAGACACTAGCAGAGGCGTGTTCGTGGAAGATTAAACAAACTCACATCTCGCTTCTGGAAACAGCGGTTGAGGTCGTTCATGTCGGCGAGGATGTCGGCGAGGAAGAACAGGCAAAATTGGAACTTGTAGCACGTGACGATCTCGTACACCTTGTGACTCCGCTCCCACAGAAGAACGATACACGCACCGAGCACCTTGCACAGCCGTCGCACCGCATCTCCACGTGAGAGCCAGCGAACCGTGTGGATCCCCTGGACTTCGAGGTTAGTGTTGTAGATCACACGCTGCAGGTACTTGAACCGTTGGCTCCAGACTGAAGAATCTCCTAGTTTTGCCGCCACGGTGCGCACCACCTTGTCCACCATGCCGAGGTCGGGGTTGGACGTCGCCGCGTCCTTAACAGCCAGCGCCTCCCTGCAATAGACAACGTTAATAATTGTTAGAGTAGAAATCAGGCAAGCAACATGAACTGGATCAATAACTGGCACTAAATCTTACCGTTGCGCGATGCAGTGACAGGAAAAGAGATGCGGGGCGTGCTCCCTGATCCGCGCCACCAATCCGTTGTCCTTCCCCGTCATGACCGAAGCCCCGTCCGTACTGATTCCGACAAGCTTCGACACGTCGACGGCTGCGGAGCGCAGATGATTCATGAGCACCTCGAATAGGGACGCAGCATCACACTTCTCCACAGTCAGGAGGGTGAAGAACTCGGTGACGACTCGGCGGTCCTTGATGAAGGTTAGGTAAACAATCATGTGTTTACCACGCGTTCGGTCAGTGCTCTCGTTGCATTGCAGGCCCAGGAACGGTGAGGAGTTGATGTGGTCCATCTGCGCATTCGTCAAGTACGTACTGAGGCAGTGAACCATCTGCTGGAAGCCGTACCTGCGCAGAGATGTAGGTCTTTCAGTTAGTCTTTACGGGGGAAAATATTTCATTACCACGAATTCTATACAGCAAGATTGTAACTAAAATGTCCTACCGTGTGAGATAAACACCGTAAGACTGTCTCGGGATGTCGGGCGTGTCCTGCTCCGCGAGATGCCGCATCAGCCTAGGGTACATGCTTATCGGTGCGTCGCACTTGCACAGAAATACAACCGACCGCAACAGTCGGACGGCGCGCCTGCCCTCGACGTCCGAGTTGATGAAGTTCGAAATCACTTGCTGCCCCTCGCGGATGCCTCTCGCAATCTTCAGCTGCCGGTCAACAGCCGCTTTGTGCGCGTCCGTGTGCTCGTGTACGCGAAACGCCTGCGTCTGCATGTCACGGCCTCCGTCATCACCCTGCCTCGCGTACCTCGTGTTCTCCTTCCCGTAGGCCATGCAGACACTGCACTTCACATAGGGAAACCCATCCTTGGTTTTTCCCAACACAAGCCAGGAGAACTGTCCCGACCACCTCGTATCATACATGATGCTGGCCTCCAGGAACATCTGCTCTCGCAGCTGCGCCTTGGTGAGGGCGGGCGAGCCGGTGTCCGCGCGGATCGGGAACACATCTTCCTCTGGCGGTGCAGATGCAGCAGGTGGTGGATCAGCCGGAGTGTTCGAAGCAGAAAGTCGGCGGCCTCCGACAAGCAGGGTATGCTGCGCCCAATTCCCTGAACGCGCTCTCTTCGGTGTGGAGGTAGCCGACGGAGGACCAACGGACACACCAACGGTGCTTGGTGTGGGACTTGGCGCGGTCGGTTGGGGATCTTTGCTGCAAGAAGCAACAGCCGGGGGTATAGTGAAGGCGGCCTCCCGGGGAGACTCTTCAGGTGTGGCCGTGGGCGTGTCTTTCACTGCAGAATCATCTACGGTAGACCTAGGTGGATCCGGTGTTACTGGAGCAGCGAAACCTCTAAGAAAATCAATCCCCGAGCGTGGCTCCGTGGCTTTCGACGGTAACGGTGGCTCATCTGAGCCAGCCTGAGGCGTGTCCTCGTCAGCCTGCTGGCCTTCCATGGCGGGGAGAAGCTAGAGATGGGGAGAGAGAGAAACGGAGAAATGAATTGAAAAAAGGGAACATAACAGCAGCACCAACAAGACCTTGGCTGTGGGAGGGGGGAAGCAAGAGATGGAGGGAGAAGGTGGGGTCAGCAAGAATCCACCGCGTCGCCACGAAATTGATGGCGCGGTGGTCGAAACAACGAGCCGTCATTGTATTCGGCCTTTCATGCAGGCCGAATACATTGAACGACTGCTTCACTGCCAGCGACGACAGCCACTAAGTGTCTCCCTCCAATGAGGGACACGTATTGTGATTTGCGCGGTGCGTGTGGCAGTATATATGATGCTTCTAGGTGCGCTGT